GTTAAGCGACGGCGCCTTTGTAATTACGTGAACAGTGGAGACAACGCCCGTATGTTGGGCCGGCTGTTCCCATTCTCCTAGTCGAGCTTGCACCAGTGCGCAGCCGCCCCGCTGGATGTGTGTATATATATCCTGCTTTTGGTGGGTAGACATTTGGTTTTTTTGCACCCTTACGAAGCGAGACCATATGGCCTTAATGAACGTTGTATACTTCTTGCACAGTCCACTTGAACTGCTGGAATTTATGTTGAAATTGAATACTGGTGGTGTGATTTGATTGATTGATATGTGGGGTTTAACGTCCCAAAATCACCATATGATTATGAGAGACGCCGTAGTGGAGGGCTCCGGAAATTTCGACCACCTGGGGTTCTTTAACGTGCACCCAAATCTGAGCACACGCGCCTACACCATTTCCGCCTCCATCGTAAATGCAGCCGCCGCAGCCGGGATTTGAACCCTTGACCTGCGGGTCAGTAGCCGAGTACCTCAACCACTAGACCACCACGGCGGGGCTACTGGTGGTGCATTCTAGTTCCTCTAGGTAAAAACCTATTTGAACAGGCATACACACTGGGCATATCATCCTTGCGAAAAACAAGAAACTAATGATTGATTGTGGCCTGTTCATATTGCTGAAATAAGGAATAGGATTGCATTGTGTGCTTCCAGCTATCAAAATTGTTTTTTTTTTCATAAAATACTGTTCGTTAAGAAAACATCATGCTCGAATAAGTTTATTTTCTTGGTTCTTGAAAAGGTTTTTGCAGTCGTACCCTCTGGCAAAAAAAAAAAAAAACGAACTCTCAAAGTAAAATAGTACCCTTAACAAATCGGTTGGAATGCTTTATATCACTAAGTTCTAGCATAGATTTAAGAAAATTATGTCGAATTTTGATAGAGGCGTTGTTTCTTTAGCGTCCAATAAACTCAAAGGGCTTTATTATTAGTTGTTCGAGCTGGACGTTTTAGACTCGCAATATGATAGAGAGAAACGCTGTAGTGGAGGACTCCAAAAATGTTAGCACCGTGTGGTTTTTAACGTGCCACTGAATCTAACTATAGAGAGGTCAAGCACTTTGGCCTCCGTTGAAAATACTGCCACCTTGAGCAGTGTTCGATACCATGATCTTCGGATCAGTATTCGGTCACCAAATTGATTGCTTTGATTGATTGCTTTATTTGCTTCGTCACAGTACAGTGTAACAGGAGGCGGAGGGAAAAGCCGAAATGACGGCTTGAGGGATCCTCCGCCCCCTTTGTGAACAATGGCAGCAGATGAAGGACATCACAATATCATACACTTTCACATTGTTTTACGTAAAGATCATGCCACAAAGGAAGGAAACCTGAAAACGTAGTTGATACATAGCTTACACAACAAAGGAACTTGCAGCAATCTTCTGCACCTGAATAAATACATAGTTTATAGAACATATAACATAGTTTGCTACATAGTTTATAGAACAAAAAGAGCCGCTAATTCTGCGACACTTAAATGAGACACATCTATACCTTTGCTAATATAAGTATTCAGAATTCGCGGTAGAGTACATCGAAGCATCTGAAAACCATAATTAGTGCGAAAGTACGGAACGTTCCACATTTCTGTATTTCTTGTTTCATACGCCTTTTCCTTTAAGCAAAGATTCGCCATTTCCGTAAACAAAAGTTTGCGCGTTTGCAGCTAAGGCAGTACTCTCGTAGTAGTCTGTATTGATATAGGTCATTCACTTTGATTATCTTATATTTTTTAAACAGTGGGTCACTAGGTGCTAGAGCTGTAGCGTTGTCTATCAGCCTCAGTATTTTCTTCTGTATTCTCAGTAATTTTGTTAAGTTTGTTTCTGTAGTTGTTCCCCAAACCAAATAGCAATAGTTAAGATAAGAACTAAACAGCGATTTGTATATCAATAACTTCACCGAATTGGGGATGAGGTACCGGATACGGCTGAGTATTCCAGTTATCCGGCCTAATTTTATTTGAATATTATTTACGTGGTCATCCCATTGCAAAGAACTGGAGAAATGTACCCCAAGTACTTTCACTGACTTCACTATTTCTATATGTGAGCCTCTAAATACAATATTATTCTTCAAAGTCACTTGTTGACCTTTCGAATGAAAAACTACCGCTTTTGTTTTAGTTGCATTTATTTTTAACTTATTGTTACTTGTCCAGTTGTCTAACTTCTGTAAGACGTCATTAGCTTTATTAGAAAGAATAACATCTGATGATGAGGTGACAAATATACTCGTGTCATCTGCATAGATAATAAACTTAACTTCTGGGGAGATATGGACTATGTCATTAATATATAAAGTGAATAATAAAGGGCCAAGAATGCTCCCTTGTGGTACCCCTGAAATTATATTTTTCTTATCTGATACTAAATCATTTATCGAAACAAATTGACATCTATGCGCCAGATAGCTTTTAAGTAACATGAGTGGGAGCCCGCGAATGCCATAATGGTTTAATTTTTCAAATAAAATGCCGTGGTGAATGTAGTCAAATGCTTGTGTGAAATCCACAAAAATTCCGACCACTTTATTTTTTTGTTCAAATTGTTGTAGAATATATTCTTTTTGATCCAGTAGGGCGAGTTCTGTAGACTTATGTTTTTGGAAGCCATATTGTGATTTTGTTAGGACATATTTGGTGCAAAAACAGGATAAGCGACTAAAAATAATTTTTTCGAAACCTTTAGAAAATACGGGGAGAATAGATATCGGTCGATAATTTGCAACGTTATGCTTGTTCCCCTTTTTGTAAAGAGCTATTACGCGTGCCGTTTGCATTTTCGAAGGAAAAACCCCTGTCGAAATACAGAGATTGAATATGTGTGTTAGTGCTGGACTGATCTGATCGATAACATATTTCACTGGTTTTATTTGTATGCCATCAGCGTCGCAGCTGCGACTGTTTTTTAAGCCGAGAAATACTGTGCGGACTTCTGGTTCGATAGTACCTGCTAAGAAAAACGTGTTTGCAATTTCTGGACCCAGAGTTCGGCAAGTAGCGGTTGATCTGTCGCTAAAGTCTCTGTAAACGAAGTAATCATTAAAAACATTGACCATAGCCTCTCCACTGACCAAGTTTCCGTCATGGAGTACCTCCTTAATTTCTTCTGTTTTCGAATTTCGGCCCATCAAAGAGTTTATTCTATTCCATAAAACATCTGCTCGTTTTGAACACACAGTAAATTAACAAGACTACCGTAATGGTTCTCTAGGAACTTTGCGAAATGATCAATTATTATAACTGCGGAAGGACGGAAACAGGCTGAACAGTGTAAAAGGCACAAATGTCTCGAATACTTTCAAGGTATTGCAATATGCTACATGCTCCCAGTAAAGGATACATGTAGGACAGACAAGGAGGTGCATTAATGAGGCTTAGAGAGCATGATTAAAGCTATATACTGTGGACCCGCCCTGGGATGTTCGCATCCCAGGGCAGAAATTGTGTACAAGGCATTGTTCCAAGACACAAAGCTTTGGCACACCATAGTCATCAGATAAATACAGAAATAAGCAAGAAATTTCATACGCACATGAGCGAAAAGAGCGTTAGCATTCCCTCAGATGCATTTTGCAAAAAAAAGTCTAGCTTTCAAGCCAGCCATGTTATCCTATGAATAACGTGTGACGTAACAGGATAGAAAGTTGGGCGAGTTGGTTAGCAAGAATAACACATGACGTATGTGGGTGGCAGTGTTTAGCTGAAGATGACATGTCTGCTTTTATTGTAATGTACAACTCCTGATTCATTTCGTTTCATTTTTACCCTCAAGACCATGTGTAATTATAGAAGGGAACGGTTACAAGTTTACAAGAAACAAAATACAGAATGAAAATAAGTTATTCAACAAACAAAAACTACTCATTACACAATATTAGCTGCGTAAGGACAAGAACTTCAATACAATATGTATCTAATACATAAAGTACATATCATAATGCTTTATACACTTTTATTTAAACGAAATTTGTTAACTCTCGACGGAAAAGATGGTTATTAGGAATAGTTACTATGTCTTCGGGTAGATGGTTCCAATCTGCTGATGTACGAAGTATGAATGATCGATAAAAACACTGCTAGTTGCATAATTCAACGCCAACCTAATGACGATGATACACTGAGATATGTACTGAGGATTGAGAATTACTTGGTCATGAAGGGCGGGATGATAGAATATATTGTGAAAAGTGGCCAGGCCAGATATTTTACGACGAGATGCTATTAAACAGAGGCCTAGGTTGGATTTAATTGAAGATATACTGGCAATGCGATTATAGTTGGACAGTATGAAACGGGCGAAATTATTCTGTAGAAGTTCTAGTGAAGTGATCAAGTTATCATGGTAAGGATTTCACACAGGAGAGGCACATTCGTGTTTAGATCTTAACAATGTTTTATATAAGAGTAATTTTAATGCTGATGGTGCTTTTGAAAAGTTACGACGTATGTAGCCTAACATGCGATTGGCATTATTAGTACTGTAATCGACTGGAGGTGCCCAAGATAGGTTTGTCGTGATAAGAACAACCAAGTATTTACACGAGTTGACCGGATCAAGCTGGACGTTGTTTAAGTTGTATGCTAGCGGGATGTGAGGTGATCTTGTTACGCGCATTACCTTACATTTCCAGTGTTTGAGCCCATTCGCCATGTGCTACACCAGGCTGCTACGGTGTTGATACTGAACTTGATTCATTTTCCTTGTTCTTTCTTTACTTTCGGAGCATGAAGTATGTCTATGCTAGAAATGAACGACGTTCTTGGGATGCACATCACCCTGTATTGTATTTCATTTCTTTAGGTACGTGTAATATCTGGCAGTTCGTTAGAAACTGTGTTCTTGTAGTTTATATTCGTCCTTGTTTCTGAGCTAAATTTGACTGTAACGAATACAAAAATTGGGTGCAAGAAAAAGTGCAAAATGATCACGCATTATTCAGTGTACCACATATGTATTGGAGAATTTATTAAACCGTAAAGAAGTGAGTACATTTTTCAGCATGCTAGATATGTTTGGCAGTTTGAATCGTAAAGAACCTGATCTGTACCATAAGGTCCACAATAAAGGTTATAGAAGATATCACAATTATTTCTAGCCTCTGCTTTATCAATGTAGGAGCTCCAGTAATATAAGCCACAGGTCTGGTTTCTTCGAGTGCCTTTTGAAAGAGAATAGCGAGAATGTCACCTTATAAATGCAGTGAAACGTAAAGAGCACACAGTGAGAACAAAGCCAGCGCACCCACGCACGCACGCACGCACGCACACACACACACACACACACACACACACACACACACACACATATATATATATATATATATATATATATATATATATATATATATATATATATATATTTGTCATCATTTCATATCAGGTGCAGCTGGCAAATATTTTATCACATCTGCACATGCGGGAAAAAATAGTGCACGTATATGCGAATGCGAGAAGTAGTTATTAGTTAAAGAAAAATTGTACTGCCTAGAGAGTGCTTAAACCTTTGGGAAACCAGGTGAAACTATCGCGATAAATAATTTATACATTACTCATTTGAACATTCACGACGAAGCTAATCGCCCCGGGGACGTTGTGCGACTGGTTCACAAGTCAACGTGTTTGCAGGACCAACGCCATGACGGTGATACGATCATCATTGACGGCATTAGCTGCGCACATTCAACAACGTGGCCTGCGTCGTACACCAACGCGTCGTGCATGAGACACCGCGATGTTTCGCTTGCTGTATCTACATGCTTGTAGATGCTGGAGAAAGGCACGCTCATTGAAATTTAGAAACACTCGACCTAAGTATCGCACGGCGGAAACTGCTGATGATGAGCGAGAACACCAACACATAGTTTCACTCTCTGACCAGCAAATGCGGTCGGCGGCTTCAGCGTGCTCATCGGTCATGTGGGAGGTTTCTTGGCCCTGTAGAATGGGCTGCAACTAAAACAAATTCATAATTGCACTCAAAACCATTCGTTGTCGGCGTTAGCTGATACTCGTGAGGTTGTTCATTCGGCAATGTTCTCTCCCGAAGCAGAGGACCAGAACACAGGAGCAGTGGCTGCTGCAGCGCGTTGAGAGCGGAGCTCACAAACTGACGTCACACGCGAGAGAGCGCCACTCCAGAATATCGGGGCCATTCTCAACTCACAGTATATGTAAATCATCATTCCATATATCGCAACACCTAGCTGTATATCACCAGTGCTTATCCAGTGCGGTGTACACTAATGAGACTTCCAGAAAGATGTTCATATTTTTTGCAATATGCATGGTCTACGTAAATTCTTTCATGTGAGGGGCCGTCTGTCTAAACTGGCTAGTTTTTACAGCAAAACCTCAATAAGGCTTGGAGGAATGAGAAATCGTTCGGAATCAGTGTCACGAGTGGTCTTCTTTGGCCTTGCTATCAGTAACCTCGTTCTCACCGTCCCACTCAAGCACGCGTGGCTGCTCATTGGCTGCTCTCTCAGTGGCGTCGTTCATCCCGTCGCAGTCGTAGCGCCGAGTACGCGTGCGTACGTTTCTACTGCGAGCTTTTATATGGGTATATAAGGCAGGGTTCATACGAACTCCGGAAGAGCGACAACTTTAGAAGAGAGTCGTTAGTGAAAACGTTAGAGAGCTCGCATTCGCCGGGCAGATGCTGCAGTTCGGGCACGAAAACAGGCCCAAGAGACTGAGTGCTGGCAGCAACTACATACCGATTATCCGGCAGCCTTCCAGGCCCCGCTAAATCGCGAACGAGAATGCGAGTGCCGGTAGCGGGCGGATCCTGCAAACCACGCCACCTAGTTATCTCGTAAAGTCAAACACTTGCTACAACGGCTCACTGAACAAGCGGTGTTGAGAGCACAACACCGTCCACGTGATGATTGCGGGAGTGCATTCGCCGGAGCGAACAGCGCATTCGCCGGAGCGAACGCCCGTTTTCGGCGAGAGTTTTCCCAGCTGCATGTTCGCTTCGGCTGCTACATCTGTGTGCGGAATATGAAATAAACAGTGTGGTAAACACCAGCGAACCGTGTGTCTAACCTCCTTAAGAACGATGGACATGTAACGAATAATTGTGAAAAGCTTCATTCAGTGAAGCATTCGGTTGAATTCCACTTCTAATGATCAAGGTCCCGCGTTTCAGTTTTTACTGGCGCAGAAAGCTTGAGCGTTATTTTTTTCCCCTTAATTTCGCTTCTGCATTTGCTTGTCAATAAGTTGTTTTGCAGATAAGCGAAGTTCTTGATACACATCTGTAAGACATTACGTGTACACTTTAATGCTGCGTGGTGGGTGCGAAAGTTTAAATTTTATTTTTCTTATTCACAAAATACTGCAGGCCGTGTGGCCCATGCAGGTGGGGCAGGGTACAGCATAAATACATCTAGAAAGCACAATTGAATATCATATACAAGTCAGGTAACGATAAAAAACAGCTCTAAATGAAATATAATTAGGTAATAGTGAAGAAGTAACTCTGTATTGATTCAGTCGAGTCCAGATGATCAATAGGTATTAGGTTTCATTCCTCTATGGTGCGGGAAAAAAAGAATATTTAAAAAATTTAGATCTGGCAACATAAGGGGAGAGTGTGAGGGGATGGGAATGACGGGTTTTCCTAGTCTCAGAAAGGGTTATGTAAGGACTGTGATCTATAAAAAATTTTCCATTTAACAAAGAATGGAGGAACTTCAGTCGGGATATTTTGCGCCTCATTTGAATTGTGTGAAAACCGTTAGAACGTACAAGATCCGTTACAGAATCCTCACGGCTGTATTTAGAAAAAAAATGAATCGCATGGCTTTTCTCTGTATTCTTTCAAGACAATTAATATTGGTTTTGGTGAAACAATCCAAAATAATGGATGCGTATTCTAACTTGGGTCTGATAAAAGTTGTATAGGATAAAGTTTTCACGTCATGGAATGCATGTTTAAGCTTGTGTCGAAGTAGACATAATTTTCTGAAAGCAGAAGAGGCGGTGTTAGAAATATGGGTGCTCCAGTTAAGGTTTTAGTAATGGTAACTCAAAGATATTTGTACTCCTTAACTTCAATCAATGGGTCTTGGCCAATGGAGTATGAAAACATCAGGGGTACTGTTTTTTTAATTATACGCAGGAGCACAGACTTAGAAGAATTTAGCTTCATGCCCCATTCATTGCTCCACTTAAAAATACTGTTTAAGGCTGCACTAAGCAAGAATTGGTCTTCAACACTATTGACTTCGTTAAAACTAACGCAGTCGTCTGCAAAAAGACGAATATTTACTGGGGCTTGTATGACATCTGTTATGTCGTTGCAATAAATAAGGAATAATAGTGGGCCAAGTACACTTCCCTGAGGAACCCCTGAGGAACCCCTGAGGTTACAAATGACGCACTTCTTGCTCCAGCTCTCAGTGTATGTCAACCTTGTTGCTCTTTTGGTCCTTCGTCATAATAAAATACGTCTGTTGATGCGATTCTTTACCAGACATGACACCTGTCATCTTACAAAGACGTTTGCAGCACCTGTGTGACAATGCTGTAAGAGTAGCTGACTGTCCCGCAGAAAGCCCGAGTCCAGAGTTCATCTGATTGTAGATTTTTTTCTCGTTTTGCTTGATAGCGGTTGAGAACGCCTGTGGTGGTGGTGGTGTCAGGCATCTGCAGCACTGTCATGTGATCTCTATAGTTTTCATTGTGTATGTCCATGTTGGCGATGAAGCACGTCTAGAGTTTTCATTGTGTATGTCCATGCTGGCGATGAAGCGCATGAACGTTCAGTTCTCGAAAATAAATGCACACGGTGGTTTGTTTTTGCAAAATTGTTAAAGTAAACTGACCTTCTTTCCCGCAACCGTGTCCACAGCTCTGACGAAATTCAGTACCAAGCCTGAACATAAGACAAAGCTTCGTAGCCTTCCCCGTTTCTGTTTTTAAAGACGATAGTCTTTCTTGGGGACCTTCGACGCAAAAAATTATGTCTGTCTGTCTGTCCATTGGTCGGTTTGCACACCTTTAACGGTACTTTAAAAGACACCAGACGACACCCTGAACGGCCGACCCCATCCGCAGCACCCACCAATATTGCTCAAGATTCAGCCTTCATACTTGTGCGATTGCCAATTAAAAATTAAATATTGTGCATATCTGAGGCACCGTAACAACACGTCAATATTCTGTACGCGTATCTTTTACTAGAAAAGGCATACATAAAAAATTTTAAGGACCGTAGCATTTATCACGATGTGCTGACCATGCAGCGCTTGTACGAAAAGGCAAGTGTTTCCAACGCTTTGCTAAGACGACGTGGTGGTGGCACCTACCCTTAGCCTTGCGTTCTACACCTTATCACCTCTGAGAAGGGCGCGCACGCCGCGCGCTTTGTTTTCCAAATAAAACTGCCAGATGACGCTCATGTCTCACGTGTGGCGTTACTCGATGCGCTCGTTCACCTCCGATGCACGCTCGAGGTGCTCTGACGCAGCGCCTCCGGAATACCATTCACCGATTTCCTTGCGCAGAACACCAAATAAACGTTCTGTTCCCTCTCTCCAGACGCAAGACTTTCGACGACACTTGCAGTGTAACGTGCAGATACGGGGTCATTTTTTAAATATTTTTTTCTTCTTCTTTTTTCTCTTTCGGGTTTTAAAAGAAATTTTGTTTCTTTTTATATATTTCTCGTTCTCACTATTTCTTCTTTTTTTTCTCGCTTTTCATATTTGTACGCCTTTATCTCTTGCTGTCTGTTTTTATTACCTCATTTTACGTCTATTTCTTTCACATCTTTAACTGTTCAGTGCCTTTGTTTTCTTTGTCTCTATTGCTTTTTTTTGTTCTTGCTCTCTTTTTCTCACTCCCCTGTAAGAGTTGATACACGCCACACTGGACATAATGGTGTACGTTCTATGGGAACAAAGCAGAAGATGAAAGAGTGGACCAAGAGAGCATGTTCCCCTAAGTGATGATGATAACTTTGCCTTGGCTAACCGCAGTTCTTCTAGCCTAAACAGCTATCAAAATCAGTTCAGGTTTTCAATCATGTGCTGTACAATGCTCTCCTAATGAAGTTAATGTAATTTGGTGAAATTCTGCAGTCAATCAACTGCTCATGGCATTTTGCATTGTAACGCACGCTTACTTGAGCTATCCAACGACAACTGTTAAAAACAAAGGAGTGATTATCATATGAAATCAGTCGTATGACACTCAAGTGATACTCACCCACATTGCAAAACGCTTAAGCTAATCATCATTTCTACAGTTTGGGCAAACTCACTGTCAATGTCGCAAGCCTGTCTGAATAAAATAAAGTGTGACCGGGAGTAATTATGAGTCACATTCTAGAGGAATGAGTTTTTTTGCCTTTTGCGCACGATCGCTGCTATGTTGTGCAATAATCACCATTTGAATCGTATATACATTATGGCGAAAGCCTATTATAATTCTTATTTGCGCTGCCTATTAGTTCAGGCCCTGAAACAGTGTCAGACGTGGCCTCTCCACCTCACATTCCCTCAGTAACAACGTGATCGGGCAGCACCGGCGTGCGAGCTCGTGCCTCCTAATACTCCCTCAGCGATTACATGAGGCATGGCGGCAGTGTGGTAACGCTCTTTATACCGACTTCTCGTTGGAGCAGTCGAGTTTGTTGGATGGCACCCAAGAAGCCCGGTGATGACTCGAAGGCAAGGGGTTCAGACAAGCGCCCCACTAATCAGTCAAATGGCCACAGCCTTTCCGCTATTACGCTTTAGAATTGAAGAAGTGTTCTCAAGTTTTTAGAATTGTTTCCTTAATTACATTCAGCATGACAAAAATGAGCTCACTTGTTTCCAAGAATGGGTGCATTTTTTTTCCTTCCTGCAGATGCATCCCCTAATCCGGCCTTTTACCACGCTCAATCGGCTGTTTAGAGTATCAATAACACCTTTAAGGTACGCTATCTTCTGCGGGGCCATATGACCACTTGTGCCTACTAGATAGAGAGTCGAGGAGTGCTTGCCGATTAAAGAAGCGCGAGTCACTTGAGATCTGTTGGATCACGTGCGCACAAGGCACAGCCAAATGCCAGAATGCTTATTATCAATTCATAATTATGGCGAAACAACGAGTTTTAATTTTCTTTATGTATCACTAGTTGGTCAAGCCGGCATTTCCCGAAAAAGGAGTCCGAATACAAATGGATACGGAAATGAATTTGATGGAATTTGTTCACTTGAGCAGAATTTGGCGGTATCTGTCGAAGCATCGGTGGTGGGACGACAGCGAGTGGCAGCGTTATTTTGAAAATACTTCTGCTTCCATAAATTGAGCAAGACGGATCTTTAATATAAATGACCATATTGTAAAAAAGAGTCCCGACGCAATCAGCAGCTGCACTGTTCCTTTGTGTCACGTATACCATGAACAATCAAATAAAGTCAAAAGGTCATTTAAGCAATTGCTAAAGTGGAGGACAAACGTTCTATTGTTTTTCTTTTCCGCCGATTGTGTTGATGCCGCTCTAAACATTTCTGCAGCAAGCGTTGTTTTGCACTTCCTGCAGAACGGAAAACAGTGCAAACTTTGTGCACTATAAGTGGTTTTTCAGTGCTTCCGTGATAGGCCCACTTTGGATAAACTGGCGATGTCGTGTGCGACGTGAGAATGCTGCTGTACATGCCGACGTCATCACGATGTCACGATAGCACGCTGAAGACGCTTCAAACTTTGAACACACATGACGTTATGACGACGACCCATGATGGTCCATTCGTATGATGATTTTTGACATCACTCCTGTTGACGCCGACGACAGACACCGTTACTTGTCGCATTTATTGAGGCATCCAAGCCGCCTGTCTCCATATACGGTCGAAGTCCACACAAACTTGGCAGTGGGCTTACACTTTTGTCACTGACGCTAATACGAATGTACGTCACGACTGCATTCACACAGCTTTCTTTTCATAATAGCTCATATTACAGTGCCTCGAACGCTTTAATAACGTGAGCTTATTTGTGTGTTAGAAAAAAAAAACAAATTTCTTAGTTTAATGCAAGGTATAGAAGAATAACAACCGATGTTATTGTAGGCAATCATTTTTGTTGCTGTTAAGCTGAACAACGAGCAGAGTCATTTCTTGCAATAACTCACCATTGATCATTTCTTGTGTGTAAAAAATTGCACAGCGGTAAGTCTTATTCCAATGAACGAGCAAGTATTCTAAATTTTCTCCTGCCTCTGCAAAAAAAGGAAAAAAAAGAAAATGGAATGTTGAAAAAAACGAGAAGTTAGAATTTGTAAAACCAGCTTCCAGACATATTTTTGCATACGGGAAAGCTGCATGCTTACTTCAAATCATTAACCTAAAAGGACGACGTAGAAGTGCAAAATGAAAGTTCACATGCCACTCACAAAGAGTGCCTCATCATCTTTTCAAACTGACTTTGCCTGATGCCCATTTCAAGCCCATGATGATGTCAATATGTCATTTAAAGGGACAGTCTACCACTCGGAAACTTTTTTCTGAACGTGGTGCAAAAGAAAAGATCTTTCATCACATCAGCAGCAACGAGCAAGCTTTCGTGCCAGAAAAAACTAATCATAATTTTAACTTGATGTTGAAAGTCGAAAAAAAGTGCACTAGCATCCCTTAACAGCGAATGTGGTCAATCTTGACATTCTATTGGTAGGACAAGGAATCCTCGCAGGTCGACGTATTTCGCTTAAAAACAAACACACTTACGTTGAAATTGTATTTTATGCATTTCAGGTAGCTTTAGGTTGCGCCAAAGACCAGTTTTTGCTTTTTTTTTCTCACGCGTTCAAGTAGTCGTCTGGTGGCACTGCCAGGGGTTGTGTTTGCTTGCCTGCATTATAACTGCATGCCTGGGCGGAGAAAAGTGACCACGGCGTCCACCGCCGCTCATGAGAAGAACAAAAAAGTGTGCCCGTGCCCAAAAGAACCACTGAGGTATTTGATATATTAATAACCAATATTGATGAAGCCTGCTAAAAAGCACACGCTTTTTGCATGCTTCATTTCTGTGCACGTTTTAAAGATTTCTACGCAAAAATTTCTACGGACTTTCCAGAGAAACCGTCGCGAGGTTAGACACTTCACATGGAGCACTTTTTATTGCGACACAAAACAGGAGACAACTGAAGGACGGTAAACAGTACTTTTAAAAGAGTCAGGTTATGACCAACAACTTTTCGTTACAAAGTGATTATTTCACCAAGGGCTGCATCGAGCAATGATGTAACGTTATACTCACGCTGAAATGCTATACCGGGTGTTCAAAATTAAGCTTTATGATTTTTTTAAAATTAGGCGCTCGAAGGCACGTGAGAACCACTTGTGCAAATAAGTTAAGCGGCCAGGGGGGACAGAAAGTTAGATGATAATTATCGCTGTCAGCAGCCCAATTAACTAAAATTTAATAATTAACTTTTTTACTGGCTGCGGTAAGTTGGCATGTTTATATTGAAAAAATGTAGGCAGTGGTGTTTGTACACAGTTTCAGTTGGAAGATTTTTTCTAGCACGCCTGTGTTCCGAGATATCCGGCTCCAAAGTTTAATTGTCTTTCGCACGATTACGCATGCAAGAGGGTGAGGGTCCGCGCAAAGCTCCTCCCTAAAGTGACGCATCTGTTGCGTGTGGTGTTTAGTGTGTGAAGAGGGTGGAAGCGTAGGCATAGGTGATAGCAATTACCCTTGCCCTCTTCGGCCGGCGAAATCAAAAATCGAAGAACGCTTGCAACCAGTGTCGTAACACGCAACTGCAGAGCCTCTAACGATAGTGGCAGATACCATGCCGAGATAATGGTGCGAGCGGAGAATCTGGATGCCAGTGCGCGTGCGTAATAATCACTAGAGAAGCATGCGTGGTCGTTGCCTGGGCTACGCGAATAGCGTGACTGCTGATGTCCGAGTACTGTAACTTTTATTGAAACAAGAGCAACAACTCCACCAATAATAACTGAAACAGTTTTATCCTTGCTAACGCATATTTCCTGCTGCTACATAAGCATATTTCGGTCATGCACAAATCTCATCGAAACTCTTCACCTCTCAAGACGTCAATGCCCCAAAAAGTGTTCAAAATGCCTGCCTTCGGCAGCAACGCAAAGCATGAACCGCTGTCGCGTCGACTCGATGACTCGGCGCAGTACTTCTGCAGGAATACTCGCACAGGCAGATGTTATCCTGTCCTTCATGTCATTAACATCGCTGGGCTCTGTTACGTAAACTCGATCTTTAACGTAGCCCCAAAGGAAAAAGTCGAGCGGAGAAAGGTCAGGTGATCTTGGTGGCCAAAACATCGCTCCTGCGCGCCCAATCCACTGTTGTGGAAAACGTCTGTCCAACCAGTTCTTCGCCCTGGTAGAAAAATGTGGTGGTGCTCCATCGTGCTGAAACCATACTTGGCGCAGGTCATTCAGGGAAAGACTGCAGACAAGATCATCAATGACAACACCTAATATTTCTTCTGTGTACATCTTTCCGTTCAAGTTGTCCTCAAAAAAGTGAGGTCCGATGATCCTGTCCCCGAGTATGCCGCACCACACATTCACACTCCAGCGAACTTGATGCTTGTGCTGCCTCAGCCAGTGTGGGTTTTCTTGTGCCCAATAATGGGCGTTGTGAAGATTAACACTTCCATTTCGGCAAAACCGAGCTTCATCAGTCCAAATTATTCTGTGCAAAAAGTCATTTTCTTGATCAGTTTTGATGAGGCCCCAATTGCAGAAGTCAACTCGCCTTTCAAAGTCCGCCTCATTTAGGTCCTGATGAAGGTAAACGTGATATGGATGGAACTTGTGCTTTCTTAAAACATTTGTGACTGTTCCGATGCTGCGACCGCACTGATCGGCAATCTGTCGGATGCTGAGCTCTGGCATCGAGGTTACGCACGCGACAACGTCGATTTCAAAGTCTTCATCGACGATTGCCTTCCTGGTCCGTCTCGGAAGGTGGACAGAGCCTGTTGTGCAGAAGCGTCGAAACAGGTTTGTGAAAGTGGGCCTTGTTGGAAGGGGACGGTGTGGGTGGCGAGACGCGTAAAGCTCCATGCTAACGAAGCGTTGCCATTCATTTCAGCCATTGCAAGCACCACGTCTACTTTTACTTTGGTAGAATACCTCACGCCAGAAGCAGCCATATTAGCTCGAAAGGACTCCACGTGGATTTCCTTGGTAGACCTTCAATGCAGAGACGCTGTGCTCTAACCGGAGGCACCCTAGTGCAGGACGGTCCTGCTAACGCGTTCACAAGAAGATGTCTCAGTGTGATCTAAAGTCACGAAAAAACGTCGCGAAAAATGGTCTCCTGTTATCGCGTTCATCAGGATCATGCGTAAGGCTCATGGCGCACCGCGCTGTCACATTTTGATTTCGCCGGCCGAAGAGGGCAAGGGTAATTGCTATCACCTATGCCTACGCTTCCACCCTCTTCACACACTAAACACCACACGCAACAGATGCGTCACTTTAGGGAGGAGCTTTGCGCGGACCCTCACCCTCTTGCATGCGTAATCGTGCGAAAGACAATTAAACTTTGGAGCCGGATATCTCGGAACACAGGCGTGCTAGAAAAAATCTTCCAACTGAAACTGTGTACAAACACCACTGCCTACATTTTTTCAATATAAACATGCCAACTTACCGCAGCCAGTAAAAAGTTAATTATTAAATTTTAGTTAATTGGGCTGCTGACAGCGATAATTATCATCTAACTTTCTGTCCCCCTGGCCGCTTAACTTATTTGCACAAGTGGTTCTCACGTGCCTTCGAGCGCCTAATTTTAAAAAAATCATAAAGCTTAATTTTGAACACCCGGTATAGGCATTGGTACAAAACAAGCCCACACAAAACGAGCTCGGGCACGCTACGCCATCGTCGACCGCGCCGGTCTGGAGGGCGGAGCCGTGCACGAAAACTCGGCATGCCGTTGCTGCGTGGCGATGATGCGACGCGTCTTCATGGGATGGTTGCGCAATAAAATTAAGCAAAATGAAATAGCGCAACCCAAACCAGTGCACAACGCACGCGAAAAAATTTGAAGGTACTGTAAAAGAACAAAAACAGTTTTTTATCGCTACATCACTGTGTTAAAATTCCAAGATCACCACGCTCGCCACGAAAAAACGGTTGGTAAGTGATGAAACGCCCAGAATGAAAATGCGTGGGGGGAGAGGGGGAGTGCATTTCACATCAAAGTTTGCGCAGAAAACGCAATGACGTCATATATTTTGACGGGATATACTGTGGCCTACGTAGTTTTTAATCAGTGACACGGCCACTGGACAAAAAAAAAAAGTGCGTCCTGTTGCGTGTCGCTGAAGCGGCGTCCCAGTCCTACTTGACCTCGCGCCCGCTCCGGCGCCAAAAATACACCCAAAAGAGCCGCTTTCACACACATTGATACGCATCACAATAGCTCCAATGATTGTTTGAATGATATGTGGGGTTTAACGCCCCGAAACCACCATTTGATTATGAGAGACGCCGTAGTAGAGGGCTCTGGAAATTTAGGCCTCCTGTTGTTCTTTAACGTGTACTCAAATGCGAGATCACGGGCCTACATCATTTACGCCTAGATCAATGGCTCCCATTAAACAGTAAACAAAGCGTTTCGCAGTTACACAACACAGGTTCGATTCTGGGTTGCTATTATAAGTACATACCACATTTGCGAATAGTTTACTCTAGGAGAGCCAATATTTCATAGAATTGGCCTCAAAACTCTCAATGATTGCTGGCCGTTTGACTCACTTAGGAATTTCAAGGGCTAACATATCGGTCCATCAAAACGCACCATGACAGCGCACACAGTTTATAATGTAGGTAACTTTAGTGGTTTAGCAACGCCAATTGTCGTCCTAAGACCGAGTTAGAACTGATAGTTTACCACACAAACAAAATGTATTCTTATTAGAGGCAGTATAAGCCTCACACAAACTATCACCCACATAAAATATCAATTACAATTGCCTACGAAATCACCTAGGGTACATTTAAATCAAGAGGAACAAACTTACCGTGCTACAAATGCAATCGCAAGCATTACAAACTGAGCAAGAACACTTAAGGTGCCTTCAATATTCACCGCACGTGTGTTCTATACGCTATTTTTGGAATGTTTGTCGAATATTTCTCTTCAAGAAAACACTGAGACCCAGTCCAGGGCTGAGCGTCATCCCGGCGGCACTCTTCAGGTGAGTATCCCCACGGCGGC